AGAAAGAAATATTGTTGGAGTGAATTTAGTCTAGGACAATAGTGAAAAAGAAAGAATTCTGTATCAAACATCAGAAAGACACATCTTCAAAGGTACAAGCATCCAGAGAGTCCCCAAATTATAAATGATCTACTAATAAAAAAGGCCACTCTTACATTGTCCCTAACTATAATTTAGCCCATGCTTATTTCACATACCACCACCATAACTTTAAGAAACTGTTTGAAACAAAAAACCTTGAAACTTCTAGGGAAACTGTATATTCTAAGACAGAGTCAGGAAACTACAAAAATGGAAAAAATGCTCAGGATCTCCTTATCCCTCACAAAAATATTTACCTTTACTCTGCCTAAAACTTTCATTACTTGAAAATCTACCTATTAAGTTTAACAAAAGCTGTCTTTTTTCCTGCTTATATAACAAGTGCTAATAAATATTTATGTTTATTATTTAAAATCTGAATAATATATTCATATGGTTTAAAAATAACATATAAGAAGGTATATATCGTGAAGATTCTCATTTACACCCTGCTACCCATTTGTCCAGTTCCCATCACATTTATTAGTATCTTATCTTTTCAGAGTTTCTTTATGTAAATTAATGTACATTAAATATATTGTTATATTCTTAGGCCATCTTTGGTGGGAGTAGTTGGGGACTGGTGGGTGCAAGGTCAGAGAACCTGGTCTGTTTCTCACTGGCTTTCTCAAAATAATTACTGTTCTCAGAGGACACAAAATTGGACATCTGACCTTGAAACATGAATCAGATTCCTGAACCTATGCTCCACTCTGACTGGGGCTCTGAGGTCCCACCTGGCCTGTGTGAATGGGAAGGTTCAGCCCCTGCATGGAAAGAGAAAGCCTGATCCACTGTTTCCCAGGAGCTGGCTCATTGCAATGGACTGTATGTACATACTTCACTTGCTAAGCAGAGCCACATCAAAGGAAACATCAAAGCCTGGAGAATGCTCCCCCTTTTCCAGTCTTTGTTTTAATGATGGTATGTGTGTGTGTGTGTGTGGAGAGGGGTTAAATTAATAGACTTGTCTTTAGAGCAGTTTTATAAAATTAAGGCAGTAGAGTGTTAATATACCTGCTCTTTCCCCTTCTCAGGTTCCTCTGTTATCAACATCTTGCATTAATGTGGTCCAGTTGTTACAACTGATGAGCCAACAGTGATATTATTATTAACTAAAGTCCATAGTTTATGTTAGGGTCCACTCTATGTGTAGTACATTCTATGGGTTTTGAGAAATGTATAACGACTTAACCATTACTAAGTAACATATAGAATAGTTTTACTGCCCTAAAAACCCCATGCTCCAATTACTCACCTGTCCTCCCTCCTTCCAAAGCCCTGGCAACCACTAATCTTTTTACTTACTGTCTCTACAGGTTTGCCTCTTCCAGAATGTCCTATAGTTAGAACATATCTGTACTAATAAAAGGTTTAATTTTGACTTAGAAGGAATCCTATATAATAAAAGCCCAGCAACCGAAACGGTGGAACAACCAGAGACCAGAACTACTGACTCCTTGCCCCAGCCAGGCCCGCCCCCCAGCAGGGACCCCCACCCTGATCGGGGGGTGTGGCCGGCCTGCAAACCACCCCAGGCCCTTTGCCCAGGTTGACCCCACCCCAACCAGGAGTGTGGTTGGCCTGCAAACTTCCTGCGGCCCCTCGCCCAGGCCGGCCCCACCCCCCTAGGGGACTCCCACCCCGATCCGGGACCCCCTTCAGGGCTCCCATCCGTGCATCAGGCCTCTGTCCTATATAATAAAAGGATAATATGCAAATTAACCCTAAAGGCGGAACGACCAGAACAACCAGAATGACCGCTGGACCAGTCACTATGACGTGCACAGACCACCTCTTGGTCCCTTTCCCCCGGCCGGCAGGCTCCGATCACCTAATGGTGAACGGGGAACCAGGGGTGGATAGCAGGGGACGTGGGTGGTGCCAGGCCAAGGCAGAACACAGAGGGCTGGTGGGGGCGGGGCCAGCCAGCAGGCGAGAACACCGACTTCTCAGTCCCTTCCCCCGGCCATCAGGCACCAATCACCAATGGCAAACAGGGAACCGGGGCTGGGTGGTGGCTGGGGGTGGGGCCAGCTTTGGGCAGCCAGGGAAGATGGCCCTGATTGCAAGCCAGGCCTAGGGACCTGAATTTCGTGTGCCAGGCCTCTAGTAGTATATAGTTTTTCAGACTGGCTTCTTTCATTAAGCAATATAAATTTAAGATTTAGCCATGTCTTTTTTGTGACTTGATAGCTCATTTCTTTTCATTACTGAATCATAGTCCATTGTACAGATTGTCAGTTTGTTTATCCATTCACCTTGTGAAGGATTTCTTAGTTGCTTCCAGTTTTTCGAAATTATGAATAAAGCTGAGATAAACATTCATGTGCAGGTTTTTGTGTGAACATTAAGTTTTCTACTCATTTGGCCAAATATACTGAGGAGCAATTGACTGCTGGGTCATATGATAAGGCTATGTTTAAGCCAAATTGTCTTCCAAAGTGACTGTACCATTTGCATTCCCATCAGCAATGAATGAAGAGTTCCTGTTGTTCTACAGCCTCATCAGTACTTGGTATGGTTAAGTGTCTTTTTTTGGATTTTGCTATTCTAATAGATGTTTAGTGATATCTTAATGTTTTAAATTGCAATTCCTAATGACATATGATGTAAGCATCTTTTCATATATTTTGGTGAGATGTCTGTTTAGTTCTTGTGCCCATTTTTTAATTGGGTTGTTTGCTTTCTTGAGTTATAAGAGCTCTTTGTATGTTTTGGTAACAAGACCGTTGTCAAATGTGTTCTGCAAATATTTTCTCGTAGTCTGTGGCTATCTTTTCATTCTCTTAATGTCCTTCATAGAGCAGAAGTTTTTCCATTAAGTCTAACTTACCAATTTTTCTTTCATAGATTATGCTTTCGTTGTTGTATCTAAAAATTCATCACGAAACTCAAGGTTGCCTAGGTTTTCTTTGTTGTTGTTAATCCTCACCCAAGGATATTTTTCCACTGATTTTTAAGGAGAGTGGAAGAGAGAGGGAAAGACTGAGAGAAACACATCGATTGGTTGACTCCTGCATGAACCCAGACCAGGGCCCGGGCTGGGGAAGAGCCTGCAACCAAGCTACGTGCCCTTGATCGGAATTGAACCTGGGACCCTTTGGCCTGCAGGCTGATGCTCTGCCTAGGTTTTCTATTATATTTTATAACTTTTCAGTTTTGTGTTTTACATTTAAGTCTGTGATCCATTTTGAGTTAAGTACATAATTCTTAAAATTAAAAATGTTTGGCCCGGCCAGCATGGCTCAGTGGTTGAGTGTCAACCTATGAACCAGGAGGTCACAGTTCGATTCCCAGTCAGGACACATGCCTGGATTGCAGGCTCGATCCCCAATGTGGGGCGTGCAGGAGGCAGCTCATCAATGATTCTCTCTCATCATTGATGTTTCTATCTCTCTCTCCCTCTCTGAAATCAATGAAAATATATTTTTAAAAAATGTTCGCCCTTCTATCAGCTACAGTCATCTACTGTTTAACTACTGGTAAATGTGTCCCACACTTCAAGAAATACTCATCAAATCCACCCCTTTTTCTTCATTTGATGAGCAATGAAACTGAGGACCAGAAAGTAAGGTGAGCTATTCAGGTCATAGAGTTAATCATTAGCTGAGCTGAGGCCAACGCTCTCTCTCTTTCTTCCACAAACAAAAATCAACTCTTCACACGCTTACACTACTGTCCTTTCTACTACATCAAGTTAAAAAAAAAAAAAGTATCTTATTTATTAGCTTTTTCAGTCAGCAGTCTTCAAACTGCCTTTGTTTCCTTCTGGCAGGTTGACTGTCTCCAAATTGAACTCCTACTGGGATACAGCTGACCTGGCTAGGGAACAAGGGCAGGAACATCAGGGACAATATCCAGCAGTCCTGTGCCTAAATGGAAAAGGCTTTACCTGCAGGTTCAGGGTGTTTGGAAGTGAAATTGGGAAATCATGAGATGCTCCCCACCCCTCACCCCAGGGCAGCTCAGCCACCGGGAACCTGTGATGTCTCTACTATTGGCTTCACACAGATGAGGACATTCAGAGGATCCTCAGAGTGGTACTCTTTGAGTGTTCCCAAACTAATAACAAATTTAAAACAGAATATAAAGTGTGTTGAGTGCGTTTTTATGGGCTTAATGCTGACCCGCCCTTCCCTGACAAAAGAGAACTAATTTACAATGCGGGAGTGTCAAAAAGTCTTCAGAGAAAGTGAATATTAATAAGGAAAAGGAAAGCTGTATGTTCTGAAATGTGCTAAACTTTAAGTTTCAAAAAGTTTACAAAAAGAGTAAGAGAAAAAATAATATACTCTGATAGCCACATTCTCTGAAAGACACTCTACTAGAAAACAAAATCGTTGGCAATATCTGAAAAAATTAGTGGTTTCACAGGTAGGCACCAAGAAAAAAGGGATAGGAGCAGATAACTAAGTAGGAATACACAGAGGATAGGCCAAAAACCTGCCCACAAATGCCCTTTCTTCTGCTCCTGTCTGTCTACACAGATCCTTCCATGTCCAGCTCACCCCTTCTCCACAAAGCCTCCTTCTCCTATCCCAACTCATACTGACCACTCCCCTCTTCTGCTCTCTGTGTACTAGGTACTTGGCAATTATTTGTGGTCTTTGTCTTCCTAATTCAACTCTAGGCCCAAGTCACACATATCTTAATGTCCCCAGAGTACCAATAAATAGTGCCTCCTGCAGAGTAGATAATAAATATGTGCTAATTGAGACAAAGAAGTCAACTAGAAATCAGTGGTTTGTCTTTTGAAATTAGTGTTTTAGAGAAAGGGGAGAATAAGGCAAGTATAAAGAATACAAAATCTGAGCATACATTGCAAGTTGTATTAATACTCAAATCAATTCGAAGCAATTCTGTAACAAGCAGAATCAATAGACAGAGTACCTGACATTGCAAAAATAGCACTGTACCTGCAGAAGACTTTCTATGGCATGAAAGCCTCGAATTAAATTCAGAGCTCCACATAAAAGACTAAGGATAAATGCCACAATCCCTGACAGAGTTGCTGGTTCCAATCGCTGGTGAGCTGGAAAAGAAAAGAAATGGTCAGAAATGAACATCAATATCTCATGTCAATACTAAACTTATGTAAAATAAGATTCATTGCTCAATTTACATGATCAAATATAGATTAATCTTCATTAAAGTATCTAATGCTATATCTTAGTAATTAACTATTTTTAAAAAATGTCTAACAACGTGACTGCTTCATTCCCCTGAACTCAAGTTAAATTAACTTATTTTTCTCTACATTTTTAATGAAGACATCTCACTTGCATTTGGGATATATATTGCTAAGGAGTGCTCACATCTGGCAGTAAATCAGACAGAAAAAAACCTTACTGCCTAAATATGTCTACCATTCACAAGCAGTTGCAAAGATTTGCAAAGGTGATTTTACTTAGAAATTCATTGTATACTTTATACTTTTCCTGAAAATTCTAGGAAACATTTTAAAAAACAAACATAGCTTGCTTTTAAGCAAAGCTCTCCCTTATTTGGGTTCCAGGGCTATAAATACCAGAGGAATTCTCAGATATATGGTCGATCCTCGAACAACATGAATTTGAACTGCGTGGGTCCACTTACACATGAATTCTTTTGCAATAAATAATACAGTACTTCAAATGTATTTTCTCTTCCTTTTGATTTTCTCAATAACATTTTTTTCTGTAACTTACTTTATTGTAAGAATACAGAAAACATACAAAATATGTGTTAATCGACTGTTTATGTTATTGGTAAGGTTTTCAGTCAACAGCAGACTATTAGTAGTTAAGTTTTGGGGGAGTCAAAAGTTATACAGATTTTTGACTGCACAGGGGTTGGCACCCCATGTTGTTCAAGGGTCAACTGCAACCACCAATCTGAACTCCACAATAAAATGGAGTCTAAGAGCTATGAAGTTCCTGGTCTCTGAAGACCACTTGAAGATACAAATGATAGAACACCAGTTGAAGAAGTGACTAGTTTATCTTTATAAACACATTTCCTTATCTGTCAGGGCTTCTGCAGTGTGAAACATTTAGTTATACAATAGCTTCCCCCTTCATCATCATCTTGCGCTTAACAGAGTCTAAATGAAATAAATGAAAACACAAAACTAAATACAAAATCATATAGACCTCAAATAGGAAACAGATGGAAAGAGAAGACAATAGAATTACATTTAGATCATTTTATTTAAATCACTGAAGTGTAAAAGCCCTAACAAAGAAGTTAATGAGGTGGAACATTGATATAAGGAAGGGCTTAAATCTTTGCAACTTATATTCAGCCATTTCAGTAGAAAAGCTTCCTAAACAGTTCATAAAAACACAAATCCACATATCACAAGGAAGTATTTATTCCTTAAGTGCAGCAGAAAATGCTAATGTGGGATAACATTTTCTTAATTTTTTTCTGTACCCAAGTATACTGCTTGGTCTCTCAATCAATTTCCTTGAGATTTTGATATGAAAACAAAAAATTAAATGCCTCTGTAAAGTACTGATACCAAGTTTTATCAGTAGAGAAAAAATTCTCACAATTTAAAAATCTATCCAACTGGCCTACCATCTACCAATTAGTCATGTTTTGCATCTCTCTCCCATCCCTCCCCACGGCCCCGCTCAGTAATAAGGGAGAACTGGCCTCTAATAAAAAAAGGAAATCCTCAATATGGGCCTCAAGCATAAAGCCACCTGATAACTGACTAAATGATATAAATCACACTTCTGAAGTATACAAAACAAGTTTACCTTATAAAAAAACCCCAAATAATATTCTGTATTATAACTTAACCCTCAGCTTTTTATGGTCAAGTAAGGCATGGCCATTATTGAACTGGAAAGTATCATTTTAATGTGTTAGTCAATATTTATTTAAGAAACAGATATCTATATAAATTAAGTATTTTTAAGTTTCTAACACCTGCCTCTAACACTTATTTTTAAGTTTCTAACACTTGCCTCCTGGAGCACTCTATATAATGGTAGTATACTATTTATAAATTAATTTTTTCAAAATGACCAGAAATATTTTTAAAGGCATGAAAGCAAATGACAAACCTCCTTTAGCAAGGACAAGGCATGCATTATGCTGAAAGACAGGCTGGAGCTGTGCCAAATCACCGTGGGAAAGAAATTCTCAAGCAGAGATTCCCTCCCATACTACCCCCTTCCCAAGAGGAGTGGGAATGGTTATCCAGAGAAAACTCCATCTGCATACAATATGAGGGTGACACTTCTTAAGGAAAATTTCTCAGTTTTAACAAACTGAATGAGATATTTCATCACATTTTAATGTATTATATTTTTATGATTTTTTTGATTGTTTTAGTATACAGAGTTTAGATGCATTATTATTCACAAATGCTTACTTCACAGTTCAATCTGGCACCATGATAGTCATCATTAGGAATAGAGTGGATTTGGAACAATAACAAATGAGAGATAACATAAAAAAAAATTTGCTGAATGCAAAGCATTGTGACTTGGTCAGTTTTTGTTCTCGTTTGTTTTTGCTAATATTGTCTTCTGCTATGATGCCTTTTCTTTCACTAGTCTCTTTGGCCCAATAGTGCATTTTCATGACAAAATTATTTTTTTCTCAAAATATAACAATGATTAATAGTTTACAGAAGTTCCTAAAGAAGTATGGGTAGACCGGCTGGTGTGGCTCAGTGTTTGAGCACTGACCCATGACCCAAGAGGTCCCTGGTTGGATTCCCAGTCAGGACACATGC